TGCCTTTTCCTGGAAAAACGGCTCTCCAGCTTCCAACCGCACTCGCTCATTCCTCATTTGACGCCATACCTGCCAACGCAAAAACACATGAAGAGAATCGATTGAAAGTCTGTGTAGTATGTTTTACAAAAGGCTCCCGCGTCGTCAAAGTAACAGGTAAGAATTTTCGTCGAATTAAAGAGTATTTCCTCGAAAATTACGATCCTACTGTGGACGTTCGTCTTCCGGCCGGTATATGTGCAAGGTGCGAGAAACTTCTTCTTCGAATAGAAAAAGGTGAGAGTACAGTGGAAAGTCTGCCACAGCCATATGATTTTTCAAAAGTTGCCCCTGTGGTCGCAAGAACTAGGGCTGACCCATCGAGACTTTGCGCTTGCGAGTTGTGCTCAGTTGCGCGAAGTAACCCCTTCACACTTGGGGTAGGGAAAGGGTATTCTGCACTCGTAAAACCTCAACGGGGAAGGCCAAATGAACCGAAACCGTCCACATCCGCATCCAGTGAAGATGTTCTTCCATCCCCCGGCAGCTGATCGGGCGGGGGATACCGCATCCGAACCCATGTACTGTCAAAGATGCGCAGCAAAACCTGGTTGCAAATTTGAAGCTAGTCCCACAAGCCGCAGAAATAGCGACGTCTGACGTATTGAGACAAAAATTTGAAACTTCAGACGGTTCTTCGATAAAGATTCGTACCCGAGGAAAAGATTTGAAGATCAAGAGACCACTGAAGTCCGTCTCTAAAGCTATATTTTCTACCAGATCTGTATCCTCAGATGAAGTAAATCGGTTCCAGTCTACTTTAGGGCTATCATTAAAACAAACTGAGAAGGCGTTGGTTTTCTTTCGGTCATGGAAAGGCCGTGATTCGGTTCAATCTGGCATTATGGGTGCTTTGCGAGATGCCGACAAACAATTGGAATCGTATTATTCCGTCACAGAACTTTCGCTTGATTCATCTGTGAAAGGGGAAGAAAAAGTTTCGAGGTCTGTAGTTTTTCGTCATGACCTGAGGGGATTGATTGATAATGTGATAGAGCACCGTAGTGGATCAGTCACTGACTATATGATAAAAATCGGCATAGATGGTGGAGGTAATTTTCTGAAATTCACTATGAACGTCATAAAAGAGGATACGGTGGTTTCTGATTCCAAGCGTATGAAGTATTCAGAAGGTGCGTTCACAGAAAACTTTGTGGATGGAGGAGTCAAGAAACTATTGTTAATCGGAATAGTCGAACAAGTCAAGGAAACGTATCATAATTTAGAATGTGTACTGAATCTCATAGGACTAGATAGGATTGATTTCGTCTGTGCATTTGATTTAAAATTAGCTAATGCCTTCTTGGGCATTGGAACACATTCGTCCACATTTCCATGCCCATGGTGTGAAGTTCCGAAATCCTCTTTCTCTGATCCCGACCGAGTCATCGAGATGCGGACCTTGGGGTCCATCCGGGACAATGCAATGATGTATCAAGCTGCCTTGGTAAATCACAACAGGAAGACGAAACTCTCTGCAGCCGACTTGAAGAGTTGTCAGAACGTTCCGCTTCTAAAGAATCTACCCGATGACACGGTTGTTCTTGACGTTATTCCAGTGATGGAACTTCACCTGGTGTTGGGAATTGTAAACAGATTATATGATCATCTTGACGCAACTTTCCGCGGCATTGAGGGATGCGACCTACGAGCCATCGATTGGTCAGATAAGTTGTGTATCAAACGACCTCCTCAACACGGGGGTGAGTTTAATGGAGAACAATGCAAGAAACTCCTTCAAAACATTCACATTTTAGAGAGACTAACCGAATCGGATGGTACTTGCGAAAGCATAAACAAAATAGTTCAAACATTCAAGATGTTTGAAGACGTTAGTCAGAAATGTTTCTCCATGAAGTTGCTTCCTGAGTACGATCAATCGATCCGAGCTTTTGAAAGTGCCTATAAAGATTTAAACATACCAGTGACAAGCAAAGCACACACGATTTTTGACCATGTGGAGGCTTTTATAGACAGGCAGGGATGTGAAAAAGGCTTTGGCTAATTTTCTGAACAGGCCTCAGAGTCTGTCCATGCTGATTTCAGCCTCATGTGGCGTAGATACAAACGAGAGATTGAGCATTCAGAATACGGCACGAAACTTTTAGCCTGCGTTGTTGCTTACTCGTCCAGACACCGTTAATCTATATTTTGCTTCACTACTACACTACCTAATACTTTGTTTACTTGTACTTCGTATTCTTGATTGACTAATAAACGCTCATTTGACAAATGATACGTCCGACTTATCAATTTCGGTCGCTTTATGAAAATTTTGGTTTCAAAAACGGAAATCGCTAATTACTCAAAATGGCGTCTATAGATGATTTTAATTTTCGTGTTTTTTTACATCATTTGGGACATAGTATGACAGGAAATTGACCTCGTCTCACCGACATTTCATGGACCCTACGGCGATCTCACCATCGGGGTGTGCGGTATACTCGAGTTCTCAACCACAATCAAATTAGCAGAAAAGAGTTGTGCAGTGAAGCCCGAGTTGACAGGATAAAGCCATGGGCTTCAGAAGTCCTCAACTCGCTGCATTGCATCTGATATAGCTGGAATACCTTTGGCAGCATTAAAAAATTCTTGTTAATTTTGGAATTTGTTTCTTCTATTCTAGGTACATGCTGGAAATGTTATGCTGCCGATAATGAGGAAATGGACTGTCAAAAAGAACCAGGTTAGTTCTTCAAATAAATAATAAGGCATAGGGTCAAAAATTCAACTTCATCATATGATCATTTGCAGAGCCCAAAATGGATCTTGCAAGGCCTTTTAAAATTAAATGTGTACATGAAGGATATTTCTTCTTAATATCAACCCCAATGTATATTTGCCATTGAAAATTTTCTTGTATCTAGTCGATCAATTTTACTGTTTAAAATTCTCTTATCACCATGGGTCGAAATAACGACCAACGTGCCGAAATGCGACGATTCTTGAGTGGGAAAACAGTCTGCCATTGTTTAATTACACCGTCGCCAAAATGCACGAAAGTCAATGTAAGTATTTCTTGCCAATGAAACTGACATGTCTATAGGGACTCATATTTTGATACTGCTACGGTACCTGAAGATAATAATAGACCTATCGTACACGCAAAACATTATTTTAATTCACGTGTTAAAGGAACACGCGTACAGCTGTGGCGGCTTCTTTGATGATTACCCAATCAACAACCTTAATCTCCTGACCACTAGCTGGCACTAAGGTGCTAATTAATTGAAGAGGTTAACTGAAGTTAATCTCGCCAAAATTATATACGTTTCAAAAAAAGTTAGGGGATATTGAGTGGGAAAACAGTCTGCCATTGTTTAATTACACCGTCGCCAAAATGCACGAAAGTCAATGTAAGTATTTCTTGCCAATGAAACTGACATGTCTAGAGGGACTCATATTTTGATACTGTTACGGTACCTGAAGATAATAATAGACCTATCGTACACGCAAAACATTATTTTAATTCACGTGTTAAAGGAACACGCGTACAGCTGTGGCGGCTTCTTTGATGATTACCCAATCAACAATCTTAATCTCCTGACCACTAGCTGGCACTAAGGTGCTAATTAATTGAAGAGGTTAACTGAAGTTAATCTCGCCAAAATTATATACGTTTCAAAAAAAGGTAGGGGATATTGAAATGCAAATACCTATGCAGTTTGCGATATGATAAATAGTCATGGACATTTGACATGCTTTGAGAGTATGTTCACAGATGAAGAACTTATCGCCCCAACAGAACCGCTGAGCTGCACATGCGACACACAATAGCGCCGTACATGTGGGAGGGGTTCATTCTCAAATTTGACACTTCAAAGAAGGGTTGATGAAAACTGGTGCATGCTGGTTTATCTATCCACGTTTGCTTTCCTATCGGTTCTTGCATAAGATTTACTGTTTAGCGTATCTTTGCTTTAGTGTGTTACGTTTAATTTGATTGGGAGACGTGTTCGTTGACGTCAACGTCAACCGACAACACTGCAAGAATTGGCCATGGCACTGCAATAGGAGTGGGTCAGATTGCCCCAAATCGTGATAAGACAGTCGATTAGGAGCATGCCACGACGAATTGCTGAATGTCTGAGGATTGGTTGAGCAATTACTCATTATTAACACAAAAATCAAAAACGTCCATTTTCATTTTTGACGGTGTATCTCTTTGCGAGTGAAATTGGGCCGTCAGATAAGCCGCCCATATGAACTGTTTATGTTCATGTGTAGGCAATTGGCCTGTTATTAACATACATTGGTTACCTCTAATAAAAACAGCCGTGCATTTCCGCAGTTTTGTACTGTTTCTGAATATCCCATACTTTTTTTGAAGAGTATAATATACAAAACATAGACTACTAATGAATAGATTGTTCTTCAGTATAACACTAAAATATGAATATGCCGCATGTGTTATGAATGTTTCGTTATGAAACGAGTGCATTTACCACCATTTTCGTCTTCAGCACCCTTGAAATCCTACATAAAAAAATATTAAACAACAAAATAGCAAATAAATGGTGGAAATCGCTGGATCAAATTTTTACTAAGATTTTCGTTTTCAGCACCCCTGAAAACCATGGAAAGATAAATTCAACGACAAAACAGCAAATAATGGCCCGGCTACTATGGGATTCTGTTTTGGAACATACCAAATCTTTGACTTGCTTTTTCTCAAAACTTACTTTTGTGAGTTTGGGTAGCTTCAAATGGACACAGCTTAGTCAATTTTTGTCTGATTCAAACAAACTATACATCAAATTGAAGCTAATGAGTTGAAGAGTGTGACAATAACAATGACTCAATTTTTAAAATTTCCTCATTGTGACTCATTATGCCATGGGGGGTCACATATTATTATAAAACCAGTCACATATCATTTTAAAACACTATATAGTCAATACTAAAATATAATATGATGTATAAATATATTTTGCAAGTAAAGTAATAAAATGATAACTTACTTGGTAAATTAGCTAATGTTGTAAGAGATCTATAACCTCGAATATCACTATCATCCCATGATCTTCTACTATAATCCAAGAAACGAGATGGTGCTGAAAAAAATTTACATCTTATTTCAATCCATATACTTATTTATAAAATTAATTTATCTACAAGTTAACTAAGATGGCTAACAATTCTCTTCAACTTTTGAATTAATTTCAATTTCTTCCATATGAACAGGACTTTTCTGCTTGGGAATTGCACACAAATAATTACTGGTACATTAAATCTACATGTACTATTTTAAATTCTAGGTTTTTTTTCCATGCATGTCTGGTATTACTGGTCATCTTATTGTTGTACATTTGCACAAAACTTTTAAAATATTTAATATAGAATATATCATGTTTATTTTGTAGAAAACTGGCATGGCTTTTACAGAATATAAATTTTGAGCATAAGTCTAAAAGATAGGTTGTCAGGCAACGAAACATACGCCCACAACATTTAAGTCGTATGGGCAGTCAACAAAGGTTGTCGCATATTTTTTTGTTTGTTGGTAATGGAACACTTACAATAAACTAAAATCTGATTAAGAGTAACAACCCATTAAGTAATTATCAGAAATCATTAGTTTGTTTGGCTTCTAGTTCTGTGCAAAACATTTAATATCCTAGATATTAACTTTAGCCTCTAGAGCGTCCACAAGCAATTGTGAAACTTCCAATCAATAGAAACAGGTAACATAAACCAATTACAGACGGTTTGATGGGTTCAATTTTGACTAAGTAGAAATGATGCATTTGATATTCAGATATGTTGATATACATTAATTAATAGAATACAATATCAAAAGATAGGTTGCCAGGCAACGAAACATACGTCCACAGCAGCTAAATTGTCCGGGCAGTCAACGAGAGTTGTCAGATATATTTACTTTTTTGGGTAATGAAACATTTATGATACACTAAAATCTGTGATCAAGAGTAACAACTCATTAAGTAATTATCAGAAAATCATTAGAATTTGTTCAGTTTTTATACAGTTCTGCCCCATGTTAACGTTTAGTATACGAAACATTTAGTATCATGGATTTAGCTGTTCAAAACTCACTGAAAATCAATATACTTGTTTGTCTCAAGAGCTTATAATAAATTCTGTATATCAATCTGAAGTCAATCGGATGATAACTTTTGCCTCTAGGGCGTCACAAGATTTTTCAAAGTGATCAAGGGCCAATCAGATATTAGTTTTAGCCTCTAGAGCATCTACAAGATTTTTTGAAGTGATCAAGGGCCATAACTCTGGCAGTAATTATCGAAAATCACTGAAAATGAATAGTCTTCTTCGCCTTGTGACCTTAAACACTGTGCATAAATTTAACTTTAGCCTCTAGAGCGTCCACAAGATTTTTCAAAGTGATCAAGGGCCATAACTCTAGCAGTAATTATCTGAAATTGCTGAAAATCAATAGGTTTCTTTATCTCATGACCTTAAACACTGAGTATAAATTTAAAGTCAATCGGATATTATCTTTAGCCTCTAGAGCATCCACAAGATGTTTTGAAGTGATCAAGGGCCATAACTCTGGCAGTAATTATAGAATTTCTGAAAATCAATCGGCTTCTTCGTCTCATGACCTTAAACACTGTGTATAAATTTAAAGTCAATCAGATATTAACTTTAGCCTCTAGAGCCGGACCGACTGACGGGGGCGACAACAATATACAACCACATTTCAATGTGGGTGTATAAAAACCATCGTTTTAACCAAAACGATGGTTTTATGATATTGTATTCTATTAATTATTGTATAACAAGCAATTGTGGACATCGGACCAACAGACAGGGGCGAAGGCTCTATATGATGTATAATATAATATAACATAACAAAACTTACATGCAAACATAGGGGACTGATATCTGGTACAATATCTTGGTTCATACTTCGCACTAGGTACACGGGATGATTTCCACGGATTTAAGGCTTGTATAGGTAGTGCCTTTCTTTCTTCTAACTCTTTATAAATAACCGAACCTATTCCAGATTTATCTTTTAGTTTGGTCATTTCTTCTAATTCTCTCTTTATTTTTGGATTGTCTAATGCTTTCTGATTTTCTTCATCTTCTTCTCCATCTTCTTCACCACGACTTCTTCGTCTTTCTCTTACTGTAGTATAAATATAAGAGCGAGTTTCAAATTGGCTCACAGTGTCGACACGGCAACATACAATATTGTTTATTTATATCTCATCACTAGCTTTATCTATGGATGTAAAAAATTTTTCACAGGCTTATAATGTTTTGATCCATATTTTAGACTACTACGTATAAAGGCATTTAATTTTACTTGGCTTTTTACTACCTTACAAAAAAATGGTTATTTATAAAGGTTTTTCCTTCAATGTGCCTACATTTATATTTCTTGTAGCACATATTTGATATGATACAACTTTTGGGAAATATTCAACTTTTTTCCTGTGTCCCACGCCTTTCGAAGTAAGCTGGGGACTATTAAAATGGGTTCGTCCGTCTGTCTGTCTGTCCGTCACACTTTTTGGGACACAATAACTCTCCTTCTAATTGAGCTAGAGTGTTCATACTTGGTGTGGGTGTTTATTAGCTCACACTTTTTGGGACACAATAACTCTCTTTCAAATTGAGCTAGAATGTTCAAACTTGATGTAGGTGTTTATTAGGTCAATGCCTTGATGGAGCTCGAAGATGAGCATTTTCTGCTAAGGGTAAGCAGAGATAAGCAATTTGATTGGTTGATGCTTTGGGACACTATAACTTTAGTTCTAATTAAGTGAAAATGTCCTACTGTTATGTTCCGAACTGGGCTAATGAAGACGGGCATATGCCATACAGTGTGCTGTCAGGAAAATTGTGACTGGTGACCAAAAATTCAAAAATGAGTTACATACGTTATCTTAAAGAGAATGCCATAAGCTGTCTAGTGATACCAAAATCATTGCTCTATCTTACTCCATCGTCAAGATATTCAAGCTCAAAGTCTGGGAGTCCAGAAAGGCCTATTTCGAGAAAACTTTGTTTAAAGATTATATTAAAAATTTATGTTATTGATGACAAAGGTCACGGTTAAAAATACCAAACTGCCACTAAACTTGACACAATTGTTAAGAACATTAGGTTTCAACATAACACACGTAATTTAATAAAATCATGCTTTCGGGAATGTTCCTATTTAACGTTGTCACAAAATAATTCAAAACGAGATTGTTTCATTGTTGAACACTGGCCGATACAGACAAATTAAAAGATGTCAAACCGTTCATACATTTCGTCACGGTTTGCTCTTTTGAAAAATTGCCATTTAAACAAGGGAAGTTTATGTACTAAAACTACCCAAATATTTTGAAAATTGACTACAGTTTTATTCATAACTTTATGCCTATTGACGAAAAGTCGAGTTTAACCAATCAGATGTCGCGACGTCATTCACTAGGGACCGGGTATCATTCAGATTTGATGAAAAAAGGAAAGAAACAGTGATTACCATCTAGAATCTAATACACGTATCCAATAGATTGCCATCCAGAAAATATTAAATGCCATCAAGATTCATCAAAAAATAACGCCTAGTTTCTGCTACCATGTAGTTTAAGAAACACTCTTTTGTTTTGTCATTGGTTGTCTAGTTTATGACCATTTAGTTTAGTTTTGATATTGGTCGTCTGGTTTATGACCATTTAGTTTCATAAACTAGACGACCGATGTCAAAACTAAACAGTGTTTCTTAAACTGCACGTAGCACAAACTGGACGTTTTTTGATGAATCTTGACAACGGCATTTAACACTTTCTGGATGGCAATCTATTAACTGGATACGAGTATTAGATTCTAGATGGTAAGCTCAGTTTCTTTCCTTTTTTCATCAAATCTGAATGATACCCGGTCCCTAGTGATTGACATCACCGGGCATAGGCGTACGAGCCAGGGGGGCAGGGGGGGCAGCTGCCCCCCTAACTTTCGGGCAAGATGACTTTTCGGGCAGAAGGGTAAAGTCACTAAAGTGAAAAAATTTTTTTATTTCATCTACTTGGCAAAATAAAGTGCCCGAAATCTAATAAAACACTAATTTTACGGGCTGGAATAGCAGTAAAACGCGTTTGCGGCCGTCAAATATTCCAAAATTTTCTTCGGGGGTCCATATAAGGTCAGTTCTGCTTCTTCACCTCTTGAAGAAAACCGGCGCCGTTGTCTGTAAACCTGAAATTTTTTCAGGCATTTCTAGTTTTTCTTCCCTAATTGTCATTGAGCCCCAAATAAAAGACTAATTTTACTTTTCTTTTAATTGAATACCACAAATTTGTACTGAGTTGACTATGGATTAAAACATTTTGTCTGGAGCCACTCTACTTTGTGCGACATTTTTCGAGCATCGATTATTATTTGTGAATGCAGCTGCAACAGTCTGATTGGATGGTTGGAATTTAGAATGGGATTTCGGTTACAAAACCATTAACTGGAGTTGCTTACACGGGCTAGAATAGCCGAAAACGCATATGCGGTGGTTAGATTTTCAAAATTTTCTCCGGGAGGGTGAGGCCCCGAGGGTGAGGCTCCCCATACCCCGCGACGATTGATTGGTTGTTTGGAATTCGGGTCAGCCAAGTAGGCTATATTGGACCAAATTGAAGTTGCTGTATTCACAGACTGGAATAGCAGGAAAACGCGTATGTGGCTGTTAAATTTTCAAAATTTTCTCCTAACGGTCCCGTCTCCATGGACTGTAAACGATTGATCTTTTGATTGGAATTCGAGTCAGCCATCTTAATTAGGCTATATTAGACCACTTTGAAGTTGCTTTGTTGACAGGCTGAAATAGCAGGAAATTATGTTTGCAGCCGTCAAATATTCACGAATTTTCTTGGGGGGGGGGGGTGTACAATACAAGGGGAGCTCTGCTTCTTCACCTCTCGAGGCAGATCGGCGCCGCTGTCTGTACAGCCGAAATTTTTTTGGGCCCTTCGGGTCCTGCCCCCCTAACTGTAATCGAGCCTGTACGCCTATGACCGGGTTACGACCTCCACGACGTCACATAGCAACAAGGCTGGTTTGTTTACTATTTTGAACGCCGATATTGGCTGAGTAGTGTGTTGAATATTATAATGAGTACTATAAATAGAAAGAGGGGATTTTGCCGGTTGTTTTGGTATAGCTTAAGTGCGGGGCTTCCTTTGGCAAAATGGCTACATTTTCAAGCGAAATTGGTCAATTATGGCTTTGTTTCAAGTAAGCTGACCTACTATTTATTAAATGCTCCATTTCTACCCTTTATCGACATTTTCCTGCTAGTAAAGTGTGACGGGCTGAATTTTAACATGATAAATTATTGGAAAATTGTCAAAACCAAATTTTGAAATTTTTTTCACTCGGACACAAATTAGCGTATAATTAGAAATCTACTTCTGCGACTTAAGACTCATTTTGCTATCACCGGTCACAATTTTTCACGGACAGCGGTACTACTGCTCAGCGGGGGTAGTTCTCTGATTCACCATAGATTAAAGTGTATTAATTAAATCTAAAAACCACATTTTTTATTCAACCTCTCTAAGTATCAAAGATTCCACAAATGGGAGATAACTCCTAAAGACTCCAATAAAGAACAAATGGGAGGGAACTTTTCCATGAAAGGTGGGATTACTATATTGAAAGACATGAACTCACTTTGATAAATTAGAGTTTACATCATCATAATGAAAGAAAAAGAACAAAAAGGACAAAAAATAAAATAAAATAAAACTCATTGTGAATCACTCACAGATACAATCAAACACACATGCAATGAAATAGCAATTAACATATCAAACTTGGAAATTTGTGAAATGAAAAATAGTCTGACATAGAAGTAATTAGTAACGATCTTCAAAAACATATATACAGCTACAGCATGTTTAAACAAGCTAAAAGTTTGCCACAATATCAATATAGACTGCAAGTATGAAATTCTCATGAGATGTTTGATTACCAATTGATTTTATAAGTATTGCTCCAACCTCAATGCTTAATATCACAAATTATATGCATGTAAATACATTTCCCAACATCAAATACGTGATTAATACCGATTTGAATACAACTTCAAAGAGTTTTTCAATAGGAAGATGATATTGCATTAATAAGGTTTAAATCACACCATCAAAGCACTGATTTTATGATAAACTTGCTTTAACAATAATATTTATTGTAGTTTCTTAAACTACCTGTAATATGGAAAGTTGGATCACGTTGTAAGTTTTCAACAACTGGATGCAAATAAGGATAATTATCAACATTAATCCATGTAAATACATTATTCTTTTGACATGTAATCTCTATTAATAGTTCTAAGGAACCAAATTTAAATCTGGCTTTCTTAATTTCCAAATAATCTTCATTAATAAGATCAACTATGTGATGGAACTGTTGCTCTAATTGTCCTAAATTTAACTTACTTAAGGATGCAATGTTTCTATTCTCAATAATATTGTAAGTCTATTACATACAACATTGCTATCGTTGAATGTAGACAAAACATTACCTACTACATCCGTACAGTTTAAGAAATTGTCACAATTAACAATATGAGCATTTTCATCTGATTTACCTAAACTCTTTCTTAAGGCATCTATATGAGTTATGTGTTTATTAGGTTCATGAGATCGCACAAAACAAGGTTTGAGTCTGTTTATGGAAAAGACCTCTTGTAAAATGTAAAACCTTTCCTTCAAGGGTAGATAGAATATAATGTATCCTATCTAATATTTGATGACGTTTGGGAGTTTGTTTAAATCTTGTTGTTTTGAAAAATTCTTTTGAATAATATTCTCACAGTTATGAATAATGGGTCGTGGAGGAATACACAATTCGATAGGAACTTCGATTACCTCATTGTTGTCTGGGAACTAGATATACGAACTGGAATGTCGTTACCATTGTTAATTATAGGAGGAACATAAGCAGTCAAACAGAAGAAATAGTGGGCATTATAACTGGATGTATACTAAGCAGCAAAAGAAACGTCAGGTTGGTATGTTACTCCGAATAGACGCATTGCATAAAACTTGCCAAATGTTTTTATTGTATATTTGTGACCACATCTCCAACTTTACTTGAGCAATAAGGCTCCTTCCCAAACATAGAATTGAACCCAGGAAATGT